GAGTTTGAGCTCTGAGCAACAGTGGTTCGAGTCAGCCCGAGCTGAGCAGCCGCTGAGCTGCCAACAGGTGGCAGGATGGCTCAGCTAAAAAAAAAAAAGAAGGGGATTGATGGGCTCGTGTAGCTAGAAAATTCCAAGGGGGAAACTTTAGGCATGAATGGATTCAGGGCCTGGAAAATAACATCGAGAGGTTATTTGTCTCTGCCTTTCACTGTCTCTTCTTTCGTCCCTCTGTCCCTCCACCCATCCCCCTGTAGTCTCTGCTGTCCTTTGGGTTGGCTCCCCCATCCCCACAGACAAAAACTTGCTGGCTCTGTGCCCTTGGCCACACCTTGCTCTTTTCACTTCACGGTTTATTTTGCAGCCCTTCCCTGTCAGCACCAACATCCTTGTTTATGGCAGCGCCATACTCCCTTGTGTGGATGAAACATACTCTTCTTAACCAGTGGCTGGCATTTGCTGGTTTCCCGGGTTTTGTTTTATGAACCACGTTGCCTTGTGTACCTGTGTGCCCAGGCCTCTGCTGTGCGCCTGTGGCTGTGGATGGGGTTCTCATTCTGGAAGAGATGACTACACTGTACCTGTTTATGCTCCCATTAGCACCAAGTGAGAGCATAGAGGAATTTTTGGAATTCACTAAACTAAATTCGCGTTATAGTCAGTTTTGGCAAGGCCGCGTGAGTGTCCTGAAGAGGGGCTTCCCCAAGGCCCTCCTGTCCGCAGAGTTGTAATTTCTGTCATCGGGGCTGGCTGGAATCCGAGCTCAGTGTTGTCTAATGGGTTCTCGAATGGAAGCGACGTAGCCTCCATGGGGGCATTTGTCACTGTCTGCAGACAGGCTTGGTTGTTACGACTGGGGAGTGGGTGCCACTGGCATCTAGCGAGTAGAGGCCAGGGCTGCTGCTCAACATGGGACAGCACACAGGCCGGCCCCACCCCAGAATCATCGGCCCCAGTGCCAGTCATGCCAAGGCTGAGGGGGCCAGGTCCAAGTGCAGCACCCTCCTGTCTTCTGTAGCAGGCTTCCTCCTGGTGGCACCTTGATGACAGTGCTTCTTCAGGCCTGCACCCTTCATTCCCATTCCAGGGCTGACAGTATGAGATAACACGTGTGTAAAGCTCTTCGCACAGGCTGTCACACACCGCTCCAAAAATGCCCTGGTGTGTGTTTGTTTTTTTCCTCAGGGTAGTGGGCTCGCGGCCTTCACCACAGGCACTCTCCAAAAGTGAAGGCATGACTTCTCACCCAGCTCGCCCCTGCCCCAGTCTCTACAGCTCGGCAGATGGCGCCCCTGTCCCCTGGATATCCAAGAGACCTCTGGGCCCTCCCCACGCCCATCCCTCCCTCACCCTGTCCCTCCAGGCAGTTACCGTGTCCCTTCTAGTTCATCTCCTCCAGTCTGCCTCCACCCTCTCCCCGGGGATTCCCCGGAAGTGGTGAACTGGGCATAGTCACCCCACTGGTGGTAATCTCCATGAGGATGGGGTCATGTCTTTAGCATCTGTCTTCCTGCACATCGCTGCTGGCACTCAGAGACTCCATCGAATGTATTGAGTGGGCAACCAGTCTTCCCATCAGTGCTGGCCTGTCTTGTAGTGCCTTCTGTCCGCCCAGTACAATGGAAATTTTAAAACTCAAAACCTAACCGCCCCTTTCAGGATCATTATAGTTGCAGATCTGCTTACTCTCTGGGGACCCCTTATTCAGCAGCAGGTTTGTCCCATGGTTAGGAACTTAATGAGATGCTACTTAAGGAGTGTAGTGACCTTGGAGTAACTTGAATATCATCTTGTCCTTTGCTCTTTATGGCAACTCCTTGCCTTGGCCTGCACAGCTCCCCTCCCCTCCTCCACTCGCCCCTCAACCCACTCTGTACCAGCCACACTGCCAAGCTTGATCCCACCTCAGGACCTTTGCACTTGCCATTCCCACGGTCTGGAATGCTTTTCCCCTTTTTTTGTGTGTGTGGCTTCCTCCTTCTCATTACTGACTCTCAGATCATAAGGCCTTCCCTGATCACTCCATCCCCTGTGAGGCACCCCCCTCCCCTTCTCTCTTATCACCTCTCTTATTACAGCCCTTGTCCCCTACTGGAGGGAAGTATGTGTTTAATTTGTAGTGTCTCCACCTTCCTCCTCAAAATTGTAAGCCCAGCAAAGGTTTTTTTGTTCCCTTTGTTCATGGTGGTATCCCCAGCCCCTAGAAAGTGCCTATCACACAGTAGAGGCTTAAAGGGAGCCCCTTGAATGAATAAGACACCAACAGCCAGTTTTATTGTCTTCCAGAACTTTCAACTTGCAGTTCCAAAACTTTCAACTTGGAAAAAAAAAAATGAGAAGAAGAAATGTGACTCAGGGCCTGCTGTAGAATCACAGATAACCTCCTGGAAAGATCCCGCCAATGTGCATTTCTGCCACTTCTTTAGGCGACACTACACATGAGTATCGATTAGCATCAGGGAACCCAGCAGTTAGGCTCCAGGTAACTACCACCTTCCTGCTGTCGCTTCCTTTCAGCCATCGTCTCCTGCCAGCCTCTGGGGTTGTGAACAGAGAAGACCCCCAACTCAGTATCGAGCCGGCCCCCTCAGTGGGGACCCTTCCTACGATTGGCACCACTATGCTTTGGTAATAAATTGTTTCACTGGAGTTTGGAGAGTCAAGTGTCTGCAAAAGAAGTTCTTTTTGGAAAAGTTTAGCTTTTTTGCCCCATCCACCCATCCCTTTAAACTTCCATCCAACCATTCACTCTGTCGTTCATCTGTTCAAACTTTCATGTAGATGCCCACCCATCCAATCTTCCATTTATCTATCCACCCACCCATCCATCCTTCCATGTACAAGGTGTGATCAAACAATATGGCAAATGTTTAAATAAAATATATATATATTACAGTAAAAGACACATTGCCATTAATCCCCCTCAAAACACTCCCCCTTGCTTCGAACACACTTATCCCATCATTCTTGCCACTTTCTGAAGCAGTTCTGGTAGTCCTCTTTCGTGAGAATCTTTAGTTGTGCTGTCATGGCTGCCTCAGCACGTTGATTCAAAACGTTTACCTTTCAGGGTCATTATGACTTGGGAAGAGCCAGAAGTTGCACGGTGCCAGATCNCTGCTGGCTGCTCACGCTGGCTGCTGGCTACACACGGTAGCCCATGGCAACCCACTGCCACAGGGGCTGCAACCTACGCCGTCGCTGGCGACTCCCGGCAACCCAACTCCAGGTTGAGCTGTTGTTCAGCATCTTAGCTGTGGAGGGCAGTGTTCACTGGCCCTCATATGTGGGATCCAAACCGAGGCCCTCTGGCGTCCCAAGCCAGTTCTTAACCATCACACCACTCGACCGGCCCTAAGCCATCCTTTTTAAAGCCAATCACTGTTATTGGAGATTTAGGCTGTTTTTGTTTTATTTTGTTTTTTCTCAGTGTTCATTCTGTAGAACTTCTACATTGCTCTCTAAGCAGGAGGCAGGATGAGACAGAAATGGATAGTTTGTGGTCTCTAGCTCTGTTTAACGGCTCATTTTTTTAATTACCTGAAACCCCTGGCTTCAAGTAATGGCTCCTGCTGCTCAAGTCACACTCCTCTCCAGCCTCGGGTTCTCGCTCCTTAAAGAAAGAGCCCTGCTGCTCTGGATGGTGGAGCTGGGAGGGGACAAGGCGTGGGAGATGGGGCGGGGCCAGCCCTCCTAGGGAAGGAAGTCCCAGCCTCCAGTTCCACAGTCAGACCTGCAGGTACCAGGCAGGGGGCCTTCAGTGGGTAAATGTGCCCCTCTGAGCCTCAGCATGTGTAGAATGGGGCCAATAATAGCCCCCACCCGCGGGGTTTCCCCGAGAATTCAATGTAGAACCCTTTGCACAGAGCTGGGCCCAAGGGCCCTGCCTCAGCTTCTGCTGCTGCCCTAATTAAGTGAGCTTTTTAGCTCAGACCCTGGCCCGTGATAGACATTCCCTAAGTGGGGGCTGTTACGACTGTTCTACTGGTATCACAATTGGCACTTTTTAAAAGTGTAATGATGGACTGGCTGAGTGGCGCGTTGGTTAAGTGCTGGCTTGGGACGCCAGCTCTGAGCAGCAGGGCCCCGGTTTGGATCCCACATGGGGGCCAGTGACACTGCCCTCTACAGCTAAGATGGTGAGCAGCAGCTCGACCTGGAGCTGGGCTGCCGTGGGTTGCTGGCGACGGCATAGGCTGCAGTCCCTGCTGCAGTGGGCTGCCAGAAGCTACCGTGTGTGGCTGGCAGCCAGCGTGAGCTGCCAAGAGGCCGGCGACCAATCTGCCTCATCCAGGAAGAGCGCAATGATAATACCAACATGGGCCAGTGAAGTGGTGTCCTCCACAACTAGACTGAAGAACAAAAGGACAGCAACTTGTCCGTTCCCCTCCCCCAATTCCCCAATAAAATCTTTAAAAAAAAAAGTGTAATGATACTGTGCTTATTTAGGGGGCAAAAAAACACAAAGAGTCTTTATCTTTTAAAATAGCCTTTATCTTTTAAACTGTCCTTGGGGCTTGTGTCTGTAAGCCAGTGAACTAAGAATTGTTTTACATTTTGAAATGGCTGAGAAAAAATTCAAAACAAGAACATATCATGACATGTGAAGCTTAACTGAAATTCAAGGTTCACCGTCCATAAATAAAGTTGTCTGGGCACACAACCACACCCATTCACTTACCTGTCACCTATGACTGCTTTTGTGTAAACACAACTGAGTTGAGTCCTTGTGACACAGGCCAAGTACATGTCTTGCAAAGCCAAAAATATTTACACTCTGAACTTGATAGTAAAAGTCGGCTGGTCCCCGTTTTAGAGATAACACTAAATATTTACAGGTAAAATGACATAATTAGCTGGAATTTGCTTTAAAACAATACAGAAAGGGGCTACTGTATACCTATAGAGGTTTGGGTGAAAAATTGGCTGAGTTGACAATAGTTGACATTGGGTGATGGGTTTGCTGGTGTTCACTATACCATTCTACTGTTGCATGTATGATGTTTTCAAAAAGAAAAAAATGTAAGTGCCTGTGGCAGTGCCAGGCACAGAGGAAGCGCTGAGCAAATGGGCACCATGCTTGAGACCCTCTGGGCACAGCCCCCCAGGCTCTGGTTGGGGACCTCTCTCAGGCTACTCCCATGGTGGGGGTGTTTTGACCACAGAGACCCTGCAGACGTACCTGAAGGTGGTGATGGCCCTCAAGTATGATGAGAAGCCGCCCTATGCCATGCTGAGGAATGACCTGAATGCCCTGTTGCAGGATCTGCGGGTGTCAGCCTACGACCCCATGGACCTCCAGATGGTACCATAGGTGCGTTCTGAGAAAATTTTTTGAGTCTTAAACTCCTCCCTTGCCACCCCCGGCCCTGCTTTCCAGATGCTACTTGATGTTTATTCCGGGTAGATGCTGGATTTTCCCACATGGTTCTTGAACTTTCCAACCCCCCCAGGAGTCACAAATAGCAGAAACCTGACTCAAACTGGCTTTTAGAAAGAAGGG